CTGATCCTACTTAGAAAAAAAAAAAAAAAAAAAATATGGAGGAAGAGGAGAGGAAGAGGAGAGGACTGCAGCACTGCCCTATACCAAAGCCCCTCTTCTGAGGGGACATCTTCGTGGGGCAAATCCCTGTCCCCAGCTGGGTCATGGTGGCGGCCATGAGAGAGAGAGGCCACCCTCCCCAGAGCACTGGGAAACTCCATTGACTGCTTTCCCCTACCTGCGGAATGCAGCATTATCATGCTGCTTTTCTGATACGGCAGTAATTCTAGTAGCAATGCTACAGCCAGAAGCCATGGCACGCTTCAGCTCTCACAGAGCTCCACGAAAGAGCCTTCTGCCTCTTTCTTCTCTGAACACAAGTGTGAAGATTAACCATTCCAGATATATTTAGGTGCTTTTCTATTTTTCCAATTTAAGTGCTCAAAATAATTTCCAGAACTATTTTTGAAAGTAAATAAAGAATATATTTTTATATTATTCTACGTATTCATATGCATATATTAATATTGAGATTTTATATATATATGTATGTAGTATTGCAAAATAAACTTCAAATTATCTAGGGCAATGCAATTCCATTCTAGGATTCTGAAGACAATGTTATCTTGCTTCTTTCCCTGCTCCATGATACTAAAAAAAAAAAATCCCTATTGAAAATGACAGCTTTATTATAATAATTAAATGAACATACAAAGGCTAATAAACAATATTGTATTTGTCAACCTTTTTGTTCAGTAGTTTCATAAAAATTTGGCATTTCGTATGAAGGCTAGTCTACTCTAAAAAGGAACTCTGGAGTGAATACATTAGTTATACTGCTGCAGCTACAGCAGCAAAAAGTTTTCATAGCAAAAAGGCTTCCACATAGTAATCCTTAGTTCATTATATATAAATTCGCTTTCAGCAGACATTCAACAACAAAAAAAACTTCCTAAGTGACAGGAATAATAATATAGATTAAAATTTAAAAGAACTATGCAAAAATTCTCTAATTACTTACCGCTGATTGACAAAAGGAGTGGAGAACTCTGCAAGCAGACGGAAGTTTCCAAAATAAGCCAACAGACCTTTGCTCTGGTTAGCAAAACAAAAGAGACATACCAAAATCAACAATGTAGATGTGAAATCTTGATTAAAGTCTTTGAGTATACACAGAATGAAACAACATCTCAACTTCTTTATTAAAACTGACAGTAAGGGAGTTTGCCAGCTGTGGCCAACTTCCTTACAATTTCAAAATGAGGTTTACTACAAAACCTGCAATTGTCCTTTGGGTATCTAGAATCAGTAGTTTCTGACTTTAAATAAATCTTTAAAAGACTTACAGTTAGGCAGCCATGGAAAGCTTGCTAGAGAAGACTGGCACAAGTAGTCATAGGTTATAATTATAATGATACTATTACCAAGAGAATTATAAATAGTTTGGATTTCTCCATGTTTAAACAAGCCCAAACAGAAGTCCTGTAAGCTAAAGAAAAATGTCCCTACATTGTTTTAGGAACACAATTTGCCAAAGTGGAGATGAATTCCCAGCTTTTATTTCGCAGTAGAAAGGGCACAAAAAGCCCTTTCTTCTCTCCCCTACACTGCAGGGGAAACCCTTTCTGCCAGCTCTGTTTCAGTCCCTGCCGTGCCCTTCTTCCAACCCACAGCGCACGGCAGGGACATCTTCTCCATGCTGGTATCCAGATATCTGCATGGAACATTTACACTGATACACATTGTAAGGGAGCACTTTCCTCCAAGTGATGAAGTACAGCATATTTTCTGCCTTATCATTTGATTCTGCTGGAAATAGTATCCCGTTACACAATGGCTGGCTAAGCAGCAGTTTGCAGGTGCAGAGATAAAAAGATGTTCCAAAAATTCTGGTAGGTCTCCTGAACAACCTATGGATTATGTGCCACGATTCCTCTTTCCCCCGCCAAGCGTGCTAATACCCACTATTTCAGGCACTTCCTGTCAGTTCACACTACACGAAACAGAAAATCTGTGTTCTTCATCAAATTCTCTCCTATCTTCAAGAGCAATTTTTGAAATAAGATACTTAGGACTAACTTTCTCTAAAGAGAAGACAATAACACACAGACATTCAAGGGCAGAACAATATCCAAATAATAAGAACTTCTTTAAAAGAAGTTCACACTAACGCTACACTTTCTGTTTACTCCAGAAACAACTAATGAATTTTCTGCATCAAGGATTAGCCTTTGTAGTGGTATTTTCATTTCTCTAATATTCAGCTCTAATTCACTTTCATCCATGATAGTATTAGTAGATCTAATTATCTTCAACCTGAAACAGAGTATTTACTTGTCAGTGTACTTCATCCCCTTTAAACCATTACATGGGAAATCTGACAGTAATCTGGCATCTCAACACTTCTAATACTGTAAAGCCTTGGATTCACATAGTACACAGGGAAAGAAATGTGGTAAATGAAGTAAATTGTATTTTATAAGATTTCTTTATTTACTGAATGAGCTATTCAGAAGAAATTCAGGAGCATTACTCTGGAGGTCAATGGGATTTCTACCAAGTCACATGGGCATCTTTGAGAAATTCCAGCAGCAGCAGAGTTACTAATTAGTCTTCATCCTAGTACAGTATCCTTCTATTCCCCTTCTCCCTTCAGTGTATGTACATCACAGATACTTATAGATATATACAGTTAATCATCCATTGTTTCCCCACCAAAGTAACCTTAAACAAGAAGTCTCAGAGGATAAGTTTGTGTCATAACAGATTTAGGGGGGAAAAAAATGAAAAAAAAAAAAACCCACCCCAGAAAAAACACACCCAGCTGATTATAGTACATTCACCAGAGTTAAGGATCACTGACCTATGGCCTTGCAAATACAATCACAAGCAGAACATAACCGCTTGAAACCATTTCCTTCTAATTTTCCAACCAAATATTCAGACTTGTGGTTTCATTTGAAATCCTTTTCTATAACCATGTGAAAAGCCCCTCTGTCAAAGTCTCTCTATAGGAAAAACTGAGAAGAGTTTTTATTTCAGCAGTTAAATAAGTTACACACTTTTGCTGAAGGACTGTAACATTGAAAAGGCATTCACTTACCACAAATGACTGATAAAACCATTCAGAAAGTAATGATGATTAAAAATATAAATCTGCCTTTCACAAAGCTAATACACCAACCATTGAACAATTTTTTTAAACATGAAGCAAATGAGGTCTGTAAAAGCATTGTCTTCAATCTCATCTGCTTGTTATGTTACTGAAAAATACAGCACTCACCAGTACAAAATAGTAAGCATACAAAGCTGCCAAGTGATGCATTACAAAAAATTTGTCACCAATTGCCTTCCAGTAGTAAATAATAAGCAACAAATCTACAAGAGAAAAGAAATAACAATAAAGAACAATTTGTTATACTACCATTGACCTCAGAATAGTGTTTCTCTACATTTTAGAGGTATAAATGCCAACATATGGCATCAGTAGAAACTCTGAATTAATTATATCTGAAAAGAGCATCTTTATTCTGAAGATTTTACTTTAGTCAAAGCATTAAGAAACAGTATTCTTCCAACAGCTGCCATCAATTATTACTTTCCCATCAATGGAAGTACAGAGGCAATAGCTTTACCTGAAATATTTCGGAAAGAAAAAGTGGATTCCGAATCTCATATCATATCAGGGGGCATACCTAATATACAAATACGTGCAATAAATGCAGGAATCTATTATGGGGAACTTCAGAATCAAAAAGTATTTTATTAGCAAACAAGGAACCATTTACAAAAAATATTTTGCAAGGAGCACTTGGAATGAGAAGTATATTTGCTTTATTTAATCAGATTTTTCCAGTTACTACAGAAGTGATATAGTGGACCTGAGTCAACGTTATAAGGAAAGCTTTGACAGAAAAGTTCTTTCTTCTCCCATGATGGTCTGAGATTTCAGAAGATTTTTTTCTGTCCTGGAACAAGCAATTTCTGCCCCTACTTTCTCCAAATGAGTACTTTGGACTGCAATATTAGTGACCAAGGTTCGAAATCAAAGACTTTACCCTTGTGCCTTTTGTATCTCCAGTGAGTGCCTAGATCTCTTTTATATTAGCTATCCTCAGGCAAGACTCTCTATCATCAGACATAGCCGCTCCACTTCCTATTAATAATTAAACATTAACTATATAAGGAAATGAGAGAGAATGAGTGGCCAGGTTCAGGTCTCTGTTCAAAGGCATTCATTAATTCATAATGAAAGTCTAATGCATAATTATTAAAAAATAGATACCAATGAATTTAAACACGGGAGCTGAAGTTCTTACGGAAAAAACAGAGATTTAAACTAACCCACAGTTTAACTGAGTGTGCTGATCACCAGATTATAAGTTCCACTGGGGTGAGAAATCAAGCCTGAGAGATAATCAAGTCCATGGCCCAGTCTCTGACCAGAGACTCCATCCTAACAGGAGAAGTTTTGCTTAAAAACAGTCCAAGTCACAACAAGTTCTTGCTTTTTTAAAGTCAGTATTATCCCCACACACCATAAAAGAAAGCTCCAAAGCATTTTGTAACAAAATTCCCATACCAACTTTAGTTGGCAGCCAAGCATTAAGAACACAAAACATACGTGGGGGTAAATGCCATACCAAGAAAATAATTTAAAAGTTCCCTGTTTTATAAATGACTACATTTTGGCTTAAAGTGAGACTAAAAGGTGGGCAGGCAGGATCCTATGGCACCATTTGCCCCAACTAAAATTCTTGTGCCAACATTCTGAGGTCACAGGAAGAAACATACGCTAAAAGAACTACGACTTGTAGACACCCTGAAGGGAGCGAAGGGCACTGCTTTAACACCTTCTCAACTGGCCGAAGGACAAAACTGAGCTGGAGTTCGTGGTTGTGTATCAAACCATCAAAGCCACACAGTGGCATTTCCTCAGTGCTTGGGGAGATATCATGCCATCTTTCACATCCACTGGCAAGATCCTATGATTTCACTACAACCCACAACTCCATTAGCAATTTTAAAAGCCGCAGTAGAAACTTCACATCTCCAGCATAGTGGCTCAGTATAATATATAGGCATAGTGACTCAATATAAATATAGATGTTGTGTGCATTGTATACATGTTGCATAATTACCAGAAATGAGGTAGCCTGTGGTAATAGCGATATTCAGTTTCACAATTGAAGGGTCACCCCTGTAAACATACCAAAAAATAAACAGTTACAGCCTTTATAACGAGGTAATTTACAAAGGACATACACATATCAAACCCATAATGTCCATCAGGTTACCTTGTTCTTGGCCCATCAGTAAGATGTTAAGAGATTTGGTTCAGAAAGGTCCTAGTCATGAAAATGGATTCCTTTTCCATCCAGATATAAGACATCTACTAACTACCCTAACCAGGATTACCCCCTGCCTTGTGGGAGAGACTGCCCCAAAAGCCTTGCTAGAGACTAGAACTGAAACCTAGCAAGTACCCTGAGCTGGCTTCTCTGGAAACAGAGGATAAAAGAGAACAGCCCAGGCAGCATCTCTTAGCACTGACACTCTGCATCTCCGTTTTTGTTCGTCTGCCAGTGTTAAAACTGTTAAGGATGACAAAAATATCTTGCTTAGCTGGTACTTTTCATATTCATAAGCGGATGGATGCTTACAGGGATAAACAGAGTAGAAGGAGACATGAAAGGAATTATTTGCCAGTTCTTTGGAGCCAAGGAACCTTCAAGGAGAAATGCTTTTCAGAGTAGTTTCACACCTGTCCCTTCCCTTTTGGTGCCAAACATTCAGCAGGCAAAGCTCTCAGTAGCACACACACAACTTCTGTTCCTCTAGGATGTTCAACAAACCCAAACTTGTAAATACAGCTCAAGAAAGGGAAGCATACACATTACAGCAAGTAACATTTGTTCCTTCCTCCACTGTCCTCTGTGCATTCCTACTTTGAGGAGTTTGGTAAG